TCTACTTTTCTACAGGCCAGGACTCTGCAGTTTACACTCATCTACAGGCCAGGACTCTGAAGTTTACACTCATCTACAGGACATGACTCTACAGTTTACACTCATCTAATGACCAGGACTCTGAAGTTTACACTCATCTACAGGCCAGGACTCTGAAGTTTACACTCATCTACAGGACATGACTCTACAGTTTACACTCATCTAATGACCAGGACTCTGAAGTTTACACTCATCTACAGGCCAGGACTCTGAAGTTTACACTCATCTACAGGACATGACTCTACAGTTTACACTCATCTAATGACCAGGACTCTGAAGTTTACAATCTACAGGCCAGGACTCTGAAGTTTACACTCATCTACAGGACATGACTCTACAGTTTACACTCATCTAATGACCAGGACTCTGAAGTTTACACTCATCTACAGGCCAGGACTCTGAAGTTTACACTCATCTACAGGCCAGCGGTCACTCTTTCAGGGATGAAGATGTTCTCATCCTTGATAGAGAGGAACAGTGGTTTGAGAGAGGAGTAAAGGAAGCCATTTTTGTGAAGAAAAAACGTCCACCATTAAACAGAGGTGGAGGCCTTCGTGTCCAGTTGTCCTCCTCCTACAACGCTGTTATTGCAAGTATGACTCAGCCCCCTGTGAGCAAAAGGTGTGAATCAGTGCCCCAATGATACCAACATAAAGAGGGAAAGAGAAAGAAAAACACGGGGACGTCGAGCCCCGCCTGCATTCACTACATGCACATAGCACGACACGGATCAGGTGATGGGGCACATGATCCTCTATGAACAATAGAGCTAATCAAGCCTATTGTTAGGCGATGGSCCTCTTTTGCATGTGACTAACCTGTTTGTCCACCATGTGGAGGCAGTGCTTATAAGGCTGAGTTCACCTGAAACTCCTCAGACTGAAGAAGTCTCTTGGAGGAGAGAAGAAACGTTTCACTAAAGAAGAACCCATCCAGAGGACCTACTTGTTTTTTTCATTTTGATTTTTTTCTATCTGGATTACTGAGATGCATCAGAACACCTTAAATTACACATTTGTAGAGACGTTAAGCTGAAATTTAGTGGTGGTGGCTGAGAGTGATTATTATTTTTTTAACACCCTTATTGGTTCCCTCTACACTAGATAATACAACACACTGACAGATATTTACTTTGTTTTTGCTCAAACTGACCATTTTTTATTGCCACACGCAATTTCCCACCTCATTTGTGGGTGGCCAATCAGGGGTAGCACTTGCCACCTGGGCCATGCCCCTGGCTCTGCCCCTGCTTTGAAGTGGAAGGAAATATATATATTTTTTCTCCTAGTACAAACAAAAAGCATTTGTCTTCCCCCTCCTGACTCTTTTCTTTGTAGAACCTCAATTCCAGCTGCAGACGTTTTGCTGCTTGACTCAACTATCTGTCTTTACACATTTAGATAAAAAAAAAAACTGCCTATACTTTTTAACAAATTAGCCCAATTTCAGTCAGACTGGGTAAAGCTGATCTGTGAAGAACAATTTTGTAAARTCTTGCCACAGATTCTCAAGTTAGATTTGGGTTCTAGGTGAACTTCCCTCAACTCTGATCATATTCCTAGTTCCTGCTGAAGAAAAGCATCTTCACAGCATGATTCTGCCACCACCACGCTTTRTAGTGGGGATTGTGTGTTCAGGGGGTGTGCGGAGTGTTTGAGATTTTGGGTTTAGTCCAAAATGTTCAGTTTTGGTCTGATCTGAGCAGAGCACCTTCTTTCACATGTTTACTGTGTCTACATGACTTGTGTCAAACTGCAAACAGGGTTATTCTGGTTTTCCTTCAACTGTCTCAAGACCAGTTTTATGAAGTCTACAACCACTATGGACACATTGTCCCATGAGATGTAGATCTCTGCAGCTCYTCCAGAGTTACCAGGGACTTCCTGGTTGCTTCTCAGAATATGCTCAGCCTGTCCCGTCATGGGTAAGTTTACATGTTCCATTTTCAAATGACTGAACAGAGCTCTGTGGTTTGTTCAAGGTTGGGGAAATATTTATTTATTTATTTTTTAACCTAACTCTGCTTTACACTTCAGACCTTTGTCTCGTCTTTGTGTTGGACGATCCCATGAAATCTCATTTGTAATGAAACAAAATGTGGAAACGTTCCAGGAGTACGAATGTGTTCTCAAGCTAACAGTTATCAGACAAACATAAAAACTGATTTTGATCTTTTTTTGTCAAGTCTCTCAATAAGAAAGCTCATTTCTTCACAATGTGGAATAATTCCTATTTAACACTGACTGGTTCAAAAAAATAAAAATAAAAAGAATGTTTTTCAACATTTTTCTTCATACGGCTCACAGTCCAATCGAAACRACAAAAACAATAAGTGTAATGCTAACACGTGCGAGTGTGATGGCATGGTACATCTAATAATACTGAAGGGTAAATCAGAACTCACCTGTTGGACCTGTAGGTAAACCAAGCCTCTTGTAGTGCACACATTTTTATCTTAATTTATTTCCAACTTAACAAAATACTGACTTTTTTGTTCATTGGCAATAAAAAGATATAGAAATATCTCCCAACTGTACAGTTTTTAAAGGTTAAAATATGAGTGAGAAAATTAGTAACACTGATAAAAAGAAAGGACCCAAGGTGTTTTAGTAATAAAACATTATCTAAAACGTGTCGGCTCTAGCTTCCAATGTCTGTATAATGCACGTCCTTCATTTCTTAAAATTTGYTGTCGTCTTCATCTTTTGCTTTACAAACGGACTTTTTTAGCAGTAAGAATCATTCTCCTGTAGAAAAGTCACAAGTAAATTTTTTTTCAGGCACACCTGGATTTCTACACAGTAGTGAACTGTCAGAGCGAGCAGACGTCATCTCCTGCGTTCCTTCTCCACGCAGGAGGAACAGGAGGCTGATTGTGTCTCGTGTGGGGTGTCTGGGCCCTCCTTTAGTCGTCTCCTTCCTCCTCCGGTGTCTTCATTTCGTCTTCAGAAGCAGCGCTCCTGTTTTTTGTTTCATCTGGGACTTCTCCTGCTTCCTCAGCTGCCTCTCCTTCCACATTCATCGCCTCCTCTTCCTCCTCCTCCTTCATGTTGGCTTCCTCCTCCTCCACCTGTCTCGTGTTCGCCTCTTCCTGTCCTCCTCTGTCCTCCAAAACTCTCTCCGCCTCCTCCTGCTCCTCCGTCTCCTCGTCTCCCCCCTCATCTCCTATCTGCACCACTTGGATGTCATTCATGTCCACCACGCCCTCCTCCTCTTCCTCTTCTTCGCTCTCCTCGTCCTCTCTGGTGCTGCTCCCTCGCTCGTCTGAGTCCAGCAAGGGGGGCGTTGCAAGCGGCCTCTGATACTCAGCCGGGGCCTCGCCGTCCTCCTCGGGGCTCTCCCCGCCTCCCGCCTGGCTCTGCGTCTCCTTTTTGCAGTAGGAGTAGCGATGGTTCATGTGCTGGGAGTAGGAGCCGGAGTGGGAGAAGCGTTTGCCGCACTTGTCGCACTGGTACGGTTTCTCCCCCGAGTGGAGCCGCATGTGTTCGATCAGGTGGTGTTTGTGTTTGAAAGCTTTACTGCAGATGCCGCATTCATGAGGTCGCTTCCCTGGAAAGACAGAGGAAAAACGTGCATCTTTTATTTATTGAAGTTTCGTTAACATGTGGAAAACAATTGTTTGCAGTTACAGCCAATCCCCCACATTGTTGCCTAAAAATGTTTCCAAACCCTGAAAGCGAGAAGCACTATCTATCATCTGTGTAACCAGGGAGAACATTTCAACACAAGCAGCTAGTTTCACCTAAGATGAGGTCATTTGGAGCTGAAAGCTGTGCTTCCAAGCCAGGTATCGGAGTAATAAAGAAAAAGAAAACGCCTCTGAAGASTGTTGACCTGCGCTTGGCCGCAGAATCAGAATCTCAGAAGCGGTCCAACAAACAAGCAGAGATGGCCTGTTGCAACATTCTGTGCTCTACATGAGAAGCTGGCAGTGCAGAGGTGGGGAGTCGGTGGAAATAAATTCTCAGACCTCTTCTGCGTGTGTTGAGTAATACCTGCTGGAATGGAAGTGTCCGCCCTTCTTCTCGCTGGAGCTCAAAATCCCCCTTCGCCTGCACTCTGACTCATCTTTCCAAGTACAACACTCAGCGACGGTGAGACAAGTTCCTGTTCTGAGGTGTTTCTTTCTTTTTTAATAATCYGCATGTGATTTTCTGTGCGTTCCAGTGCGCTGCCGTGACTAAAAATGGAACGGTTCTTTACCTGTGTGTTCGTATTTGTGTCTCAGCAGAGAGCTGCTCTTCTGGAAGATCTTGTCACACAAGTCGCAGGCGTACATGCCGCTGTCGGTCTTCTTCATTTTCTTCCTCGCCTGGCCGGAGTCGGAGTCGTTCTGCTCATCCATGGAGCCCATGTCTTGCCTCTCCTCCTGGGGAAAATAATCAAAGGCACAATGAATATTTTCTTAAAACTTTCTTTTTCCTCTCCCAAATACAAGACTTTCTGATTCTGAATAGCTGTGATCAATTTGTCGGGGCTTTACAGGAAATGATGCTGAATCATCCCTCGCTCATATCTCTCTGACAAACTCTTCCCCTGCAGGAGATTCAGCCACATTTTGTGCATCAACAGTTGTCCTGCTAAACATCATCCTCTGCCTCAGTCAAACGGTTGGCATCGTTAATGTTCAGATACACTGTACACTAAAGGCTCTTTTTTCTTTTTTTTTTTTTTTCAAGGCAGATCCATGCCAATCCACTTAACACAAAGTATAATGCAACAACAGTAAATCAATGCGGCAGGCAGAGGTGCTGCGTTTAAACAGATTCCAACAGATCAATAAGGTTGTGAGCAACAAAGTGCAGCCTCGTGTCTTCTGGGTGATAGCTCAGGTAGATCACACACACAAACACACACACACACAGTGATCCATACCCATCATTACGAGCTTCATTAGATGTCTGCGCAAGAAAGAGCTATTAAGAACCATCATTTTTAAAAGCAGCTGACTTTAGACAGTTCATATATAACTTACTGATTAGATTTTTGATGGTTTCCGTGTGTCACTCAGCTTGTGCTGGTTCTTGGCTGAAGTAATGATCTGAGCCTTACCTAGATGGACTGGTTTGATTGATTGTTTTAAATGTATATAAATAAATAATTTCCTTCCATTTTTGTTTCAGTGTTGCTAAATGAGACATGGAATCGTTCTTTAAATGAAAGGATTCATAGAAAAGGTGCAGCATCAACCCTGTTCGCTGTGGCTGACTTAAAAAAAAGCACAAGAACAGAATTTATCTGATAAATTAACATTTTTTTATGGTAATGATTACCGATAAATCTTTCTCATGCAACAGAGTTAAGTATGGAGTTTCTCAGAATTCAGAGCTGAAACGAAACTCTTCATATTTGCTTCCATTAACCAACATTATTAGTCAGCATGGAATAAAATGTTCCTTGTTATGCTGACGATACTCCGTTATATTTATCCATGAACCCTGATTAAATCAATCAGTTGATTAGACTGCATGTATGTTGCTCGTTTTGCAAATTACTTATTAATAAAGTGACTTTAAATAAATTGAACAAAAACTAACGTTTACTGAGAGCTCTAATAAAACATCGAATGTGGGAGTTTTACATCCTCTTTAAACCACAAAGTAACAGCAAAATACAGCAGGTCTGAATCACAGTCTGGCATGTTCAGAAACAGATTGTCTTTCTTTTTGTTTTGTTCTATAAAACCAAGTTTTAAACTGACCATCAAATTGTATTATTCTTTCTAAACCAAAAGTTAAACATTACTTTTATTTAAAAATTACCTCTGAAGCCAGAGTATCATTGGGCTGCAACTGCTGGCAACTAGGCGGTACACAGCATTCACATGGGAGTCTCCAAACTTCTAATCATTTACAGGGGATTTTAATTTTCCTACCGCAAAGTCGTCAGAGTTGTTGTGGTCATTTTGAACCCATCTCAATTCAGTTTCTTTGTTTTCTAGAGCTCTAGAGCTTTGACTCGATGACAGAAAACAACGAAGGCTACAACCCAGAAAGTCCAAGACTAAAAACTGTTGATGATAAAAAATAATTCATAAAAAACTGGTCAAATTCTTCATTTATAAACTGCAGTAATTGAAAGACAAACATGTGGGTTTCTGCCAAAGTAGGTACAAAATGAATCGAGGTGGGTACAACGTGGGTGAAAATAGGCAACAAAATAATCTATGACCTAGAAATATTTTGCAAGTGAGCTTAAAAATAGGTCATAATTTAAAAAAATGGACACACAAAACTGGGCAATTCAATGATTACATAGTTGCAAACTCTCAAAATTTAAACAGAAAATTTGCCCATTTTCTTGCAACTTTGAGTCACCAACTAGTCTGCAGTCACAGCTCAGTCAGATATTACTTTAAATACATGCTAGTATTGGAACATTCCCAAACTAGGTGACTATTTTTGTGAGTTGATATAGTGAAACAATGAACAAACAGAGGAAGCCTATGGGGGACATAATCGGCAGCTCACCTTGATTCCATTGAGGTGGAGGGTCTCGTCCATCTCAGTCCCTGCAGGGCTGTTAGCTGTAGTGGTATAAGTGTAAGCCAGCTGAGGGATCAGGATAGTCTGTTTATTGTTGGTGGACAGTGCTCTTAGACATTGCATTGTGGTAACAATGTCGAGGGGTTTGGCACATGACTGGCTGGCGTACAGTGCGACGGGGCTGCCCCCTATGGCCGACAGTGGTGATGTGTCTTTCTTTGTGCAAGTTAAGTTCAGGGGTTCTTCCACTTTGTTAGAGCTAGAGGAAGCTGGGGGGTAAATGTGGGCTGTAGGCACCCCTTTTTCCACTTCCTCTCTAGCTTGCTTTGGCAGCGACAAGTCCAGGGGTCCCTCAGTGCTCTGGGGGGTATCAGCTTGGATGGGACCACCATCTTTAAGGTTTAGTGGCGTAGGGGAGGCTGGAGAGATGTGGGTGCCATTGACCTCCGCTGGTGTGGCCTCTGTCGGGCTGTCCTGGCTCAAAGAGGGGTTTATAGTGGCTGTGTCTTTTCCTGGGACAAGAGACACAACGGTGTGAGCTTCACAGGAGTCCTCCTCTTCTGAGGGAGGTGTTGGCGCACCCAGGGATATCTGACCTTCTTGCATTTTGTCAAACCACTTCTTAACCACGTGAATTGGCAGACTCACCGAGTCAGAGATTTTGGCCAGTTCATCCTTGGTTGGTTCTGCATTTAAGGCAAAGTAGGCCTTGAGTAGGGACAAGACGTTCTTAGGCTGGTTGCAGAGTCCTCCATCTGACAGCAGGGCAGCAACGGCAGACTCAGATTTATCCAAGCCTGCTCCGTTTAGCCTGACACCATCTGTCTTGCAGTGCTTGAGGGCATGGAATGCTTCCAACCCTCTAGGACAGTTGTCACACAGGAGACACGTTTTAGTGGTCTTTTCCTCTTTTTCTTTTGTCTCGTGAGCCCTGCTGCCTCTGACAGTTAGATCCTCGGGGAGTTTTTGGAACTTGAACATGTCAGCAGCAGTCTGAGTTGGTGACATTTGCTCTTTCTTCAGATTGTGGGCTGTAAATTGGCCCCGGTTAGGATCCAGACTGTAGTTTATAATGATTTTTGCGTTTCCGTCCTGACCCACGATTGGCAGACTGATGGCTGAGATGAGCTGTTGCTGTGTTTGGTGGAGATTTCCAGTGGTTAACCCAGAGTTCACCTGGCCTTTGTTTTCCAGCACCTGGCGGATGACATTACCGTCCACCGCAACCTTGAGAGCATTCTGCAGGTCGGCCAGGTTGATGCTGATGGGTGAGACCAGCCCCACTGTGGGCAGGACCACCGCCTGCACTGTACCCTGCAGAGGAGCTGCAGCACCCCCACTGAACACCCCACCACCCACTGCAGTGACGGCGGGTGCCATCACTGCTGGCTTGTACTCATAGTCCACAGGTTCGGTCTTGATCTGGTTGAGGGGCAGCTGTTCCTGCAGGGGTTTGCTCTGCTCCAGTTTCTCCCGGATCGGACTGCAGTGGACTGAAGGTAACGAGGGCAGATTCAGCGATGGACCCTGGGACTGGTTTCTGGAGCTCCCTAAGCGTTGTCTGCCGTTAACGGAGATTAGACTGATGCACTTCTTACTGCTGATGTGGGAGCTGTACGAGCCTGAGTGGGAGAAGCGCTTCTTGCAGTTGGAGCACTCGTATGGTTTCTCTCCTGAATAAAACCACAACACATGTAACAAAGAGAAAGGAAGGGGTGGGAAAGAAACCGATTTCCATTAGTGAATAAAGCTAAATGGGCAAGCTAGGTTATAATGATAGGAAAAAGCTCTAATGCATTTCAATGAAGCTTAAATGTTGATGTAATGGCACCACAGGGAAAGGCCCTTCTCTAATTGCTAAATGCCCAAAGAAACACAATTATGGCACATTAGGAAGGGTCACACAATGAACTGAAATATACATCTAAGTAGAAGAAAATATAAATATTGTTAAGTGATTACAAAAATATCTATGTCTAACTGAGGAGCTTGTCATTAAAGAAGACAATTCACTTATTAACATATTTAAATTCTTCTTTTTTGTATCTAAATCATTCATATGGGGTCTATTTAAAGTGGAACTGCAATGATTTGGTCTGAATTCCTCCTTCTTGTAACTCCACAAGCCCCTCTTTCACCTCTTTTCTGAGGTGTGTCTCAGATCAACTCGTTTTGTGGCTGTCTCTTTCAAACCAAATAAGGGGCTTCACAACCCGCCCCMCTCCAGCTCTCAAACYGGTTCATTCCAGTTTGATAGAGGGGTTTACAACTATATAGCGGCRTAGAAACATTTTATTTACAATTTAATTAAAAGATGTAAACAAGGGGAGACTTGTCCATCCATCCCTAAGTGTTGGAGCCAGAGTCTGACCCAGAGCCAGAGAATGAAGACCACCAAATTATAATTTTACGTCCAGACCTTATTTAGCAATTTTGTTGCAAATACTGTGACATAATTGTTCAGAAAACATCGTAGAAAAAAAAACTGAACTGGTTGAAATGTATGACCCAAATAGATTATAAAGATATCTTTGCAGCACCGGGAGAGACTGAATTAAACTTTTCTGCACTCCTAAAAACTCCAAGTACACAACAAAATGTATTTAACATGTAAAAAACTGGATTTTGCATATGTCCCCTTTAAGACACTGATCCTGACCTGCTGGGTGCAAACACACACGATCCTCTTCTACGACAACCGGGACAAAGGTTGTTCACTCACCACTGTGAATACGCAGGTGCTCCTTCAGGTGGTGCTTGTATTTAAATGCTTTGCCACATTCAGTACACTTGAACTTCCGGTTGCCTGCAGACTGTGTGATGTGCCTCTGTCAGACGAGAGGTCAGAGGGTCGATCAGTCAGACACACAATGAAATAAATACAACCTTTGAACTTTAGCGGTTTCATGTCACAGTGGCACAAATCAATCAAGGCCAAAAGTTCATGTTTATTTCTCATGTTTTGGAACTAAGAGACAGTTATAAGATTGTGGAGTTGCATTTTGTTTAAAGGTTTTGAGCCAGTTCTCGGTTTTTATTGCCTAAGTGCCAATGGGTGAAAAGTGAGTGGTGATGTTTTTGCCTCTCTGTGTGAGTTTATGTGTCAAAGTATCTCAAAAACCACTGGACAGATTTTAAAGAAACTTTCAGAAAGTAATTATTGGATGTTGCTCCACTGATTAGCCTTCACAGTCAATCCTATTCAGGGTGGCAGGATCTCAAGCCTGGCTCACTCAACCAAAATATAAAGAAATTGGGATTAGCAATAAACTGTTGAACTGTACTTTACACAAAAAACTTAAATTAAGTCAGTAAAAGCTGCAGTGTCCTGCTGTGACGGGCAGGTCAGCTGGTTTTTACCTGATCTCGCCCACTCTTGTGAACGGCCAAATGTCGCTCCAGTTGCGCGCGGTATGCAAAGCTGTAGCTGCACTCCGGACAGCTGAAGCTCTCTTCTGTCTTCTCGTGTCGGTACTTGATGTGCTCCTTCAGGGAGCTGTAGCGCTTGTAGCCTCGTGAACAGTAYGGGCATGTGAGCAGCTGGGAGAACGAATCAGGAGTTCCTGAGCCGGGGAAGAGAAAGAAAGGCTGGTTAAAGACAGGAGTTGAGACGGTTATCTGTTGTTGTGCAACAACAACGACAGAGATCCTCCCCCACAGGTAACCAACACTCAGGTAACTTTCAGAATGGAAGCTTTGGATGCAGATCTCACTGGTTAAAAAAAATAAATAAAAAACAAACAAACAGAAAAAAAATACGCAAAATGGTTATAACTCAGTTCAACACATKTTGTCCTACATGTTGATGTGGTAGTAGCTGAAAATAACCCCCAAAACACAATCTGTGTTTAACAGTTTGCTCAAGATCTTTAAAAAAATTTCCATTAACTGTTTGTCTGTTAGCAAAATATCTAATGAACCACTGGGTGTCTTCATATGCATTCCTGCAACTGATTATCATTGGAAGCCAACACAATCCACAGAAAACACAAAAAAAGGCTGTTCTTCAGTCAGTTTTATAAATACTGTGCCAAAGAATTGGAAGTGGTCGTGATTAACAGTCATTCACAACACACACGTCAAAATTTGTTGTGTATTTTTGCTGGCTAATTTTGCTGCGGCCCAGTTGCACTAAGTGGGAATTTCCCACGTACAAGTCGTAAACTTAAACTGGAAACGCCCTGTTAGTGGGAATTCCCTGTCAGAAAGTTGGAGAGTTCAGAATTCAAGACAGTAGCTACTCACCACAACTCTACAGTGAGTAAAACTCTTTTAATATTATTTCTGTATTATTTATTTCACATTTAGTCAGTCATAGACATAGAACTTTTTAGTGTTTATGAGAGGACGTGTTAAAATACTTTCTATACAGAGAATGCCAGGTAGAGCTCAGCTAGTTTTGTTTAGTGGTGCTCATTTGTAGCAATGAGACAAGGAATGTGATGTTTCAAGTTTCGTAACAAACACAAAACGTCAAAATTAATTACAACCGGCCCTTTGAAGACTACCAGCCAGTTTTACATATATTGAGCTAAATATTGTTGTGGTATTAGCTGATAATCTGAGCATGACATCTTGAATTATCACAAAAATTTGTACGTAATACTGTATAATTTTCATGGTTCAACCTCTTCATTTCACGACATAAGACGACGTTATGATGCTAGCACAAAAAATGACAGAACTAATGTTTTGTTTTGTTTTGTTTTAGCACTTCTTTGTGACACAAAACCAACTACAGTTTCATAGTCCTAAAATTTGTGGTTCTGTTTTGTTTAAGGAGTGAAGCAAAAACACCCACCTGTATGAGGAAAAGGGAGTTTGGCAAACACAAACCGCCCACCTGGACCTGAGCAGGTTAACTGAGAGTCACAGTTGTCTGGATCCCACACAGGTAAAGCATTACCTTGTTAACAGGTGATGTATTAAGTTCCCTAGGGGCCAGGTGAGGGCCTTGGATGGGAAATGTATACACATTACCATTCAGGTAGCTGTGACTTGGAGCTCACGTAGATGTGACAAATTTATTCAGGTGTTGCTGTTTCTTTTTATGTTCCGACACCCCTCCTCTGCTCCCCCCTCAGTGGAAGCAGGTAAAAGCTCAGGAGCTGTAAAGGCCCCAGTGTGCTGCACTTAACAAATAATGGCAAGCGTAATAATCTCAGAGAGCGGCGCTAATGGGGGAGAGTTAACACCTAAGGTGAAACGGGGAGCAGGTAGAGCCCTCCCTCTGGGGGTGAGTAATTACCAGGTAGATGTTGTAATAGTGTGAGAGCTCAGTGACTGTGAGACCTGAAAACAGTTAAGTGTGATCTGGGAACACTGCCTGCGGTGTGGTGTCCTGTACCGTTCTCATCGTGGACGCTGGCGTCGGGGGTGCCTTGACGCTGGAGATCGTCATCTGGAGCCTCGGGATAGATGACGGCCGTGTCTCCCTGTTGGAGCATCTCCTCCACCAGGGCGTCCGCACTCAAGTCGTCTTCTCCATCTGACGCACAATCCCCCTTCACTGCACAAAGGACAAGCGCACACATTACACAACAAGCCTGCTAAAAGCTGTATTGATTACCCTTTTGTTTTAGCACGTTTCTGCTACTGATACGAGCTGCAGCCATAGACTCACAGCTTTTGTGTTAACCTGGTGAAATACATGGTTCAAATGGCTCAGTCCAAGCTCTTGATCATTACATGTTCAGCAGCCTGGAAAGAGACGTGCAGTGTCGAGGGAAAAAAAAAACCACACAACCTGATGTTCACAAAAGGATGTGAAAACTCATTAGCATCAAAGACCAGAGGCAACTGTCTGAGCACTGCTCTCTTTGTAAGAAGTGAACGACAAGCCTTTAATAATGTTAGGTAAGGTACTTGTTGTGACTGGGGTTGATAATTAGGTGATGAAGCTTGTCCCCTTGTGTTGCAGCAGATAGAAATCAAACAGAAACTGATGCATGCATGCACACTCAAAATGTTCTCTGGAGAGGCATGGCCTTCAGATTGGGTTAGCAGTGAGAGGCTGCATGTGAGAGCCGAGCGGCTTCTACCTTCGTACCTCGTAAGCTCGACTTGTTGAAGGAGTGTAATTGACAAACTGAGGTTTCTAGCGCTCGTGCCGTGATGCCGTCGAGAATGTTTTTCTATCTGCCATGATGGACATTAAAAGAATGTTGTGCAATCAGCAAAGCTACATGGTAGTACAGGTACTATCTCAATAGGCTGTGAGTGTTAGGGACTATTTGGCAAACAGTATTAGCATAGAAATCAAAAATGTCTTAAAACATTCTCAACTTTTTCACTTGAGTCGCAGAGGCTCACAATCTTGTTGCTGAAATTTTTACCACATTCAAAACATTTTGTGACAAGTTTTCCTTCTATTTAGGTAAAGTTTTTACAAACATCGAACCTATATCAATTTAGGGTACCATACAAAACAGCTCTGCAAAATGGACACAAAAAACTGTCTGAAATGAAGCTACTGTTCACAAATCACAGACCAAGCCGGCCACTAGGGTTGCCAACTGTTCCATATTTTCAGTCAAATTGAAGTGACCCATTTGAGACGCTTTCGCCCATATTCTTAGAGAGACGTCACGAGGCAGGCACTGCCCTGAGCTGAAGGGAGTCCCAGAGGGATGATACTGTAGTGGCCAAATGCTACGACCATATGAAACACAGTGCATTGAAACGACGGGTGTACTCACACTCCCCCTTTACACAGATTGTAGCAGCTTCATTTCATACGGTTACTCAACTTTATCACAAAATAAGCTGTTGTTAGTGTGGTGGGTGACCATATTTTTATAATAAATTTATATTATAAACCTAAAAGCTTTTTTAAGGCACATTTGGCCTAACCATTGAGAACATGGATGAAATAAGAAATGTGTAACATAAAATACGTAAAAAAACGTAGTGTTTATGTAGATGTAATATAATTCTAAAGTAAATTTTTCAGTATATTTGTTGTTACTAGGGCTGCCACAAACGATTATTTTAATAATCGATTAATCACCGATTATTTATTCGATTAGTCAACTAATCCAGCGTTTCCCAAAGCTGGGGTCGGGACCCAAAGTGGGGTCCCGAAACATCAAAGTGGGGTCCTGAAAAGATTTTCTGGATTAATTACGTTTTTGCCTTAGTTGTTACAAAGGAGTGAGGTTAGTGTATTTACAGTGGTTGGCAAAAGTATTCATACCCCTTGAACTTTTCCATATTTTGTCACATTACAACCACAAACATAAATATATTTCACTGGAATTTAATGTGAAAGACCAACAC